CTTCCTCTCCTCGCTGAAACGATCTGGATCAAAGGTCTCCGGATCGGACCAATACGTCGGATCCTTATGCAGTCCATAAACGGGTATGACAATTTCGGTGCCAGGTTTCACGCGACACTTAAGCCCATCCGATCCTTCCAACGTGCACTCTTCTGTACATACTTTGTTCATGTTACTCACTGTCGCGTAACATCTTTGCGATTCTCTAATTACTTGGTCCATATAAGTCATGTCTTTCAGCGATTCGAACGTTAACACACCTCCGTGTTTTTTCAGAACAGACTTCACTTCTTCTCGTAGTCTCTCTTGAACATCCTGATGCGTAGCCAGTTGAAATCCAATGAAACTGAGAGTAGTGCTTGATGTTTGGAATCCGTCGAGGAAAAAGGATAATACATCAGCAGTGAGAGCTTCCAAAGACAGCTGTTTTCCTTCCTCTTTCTCGAATTGTACCATTACTTCGAGAAAGTCGTACCGGGGCGTTGATTCCCCTCGTCTATGTTCCAAATTTTCCTTCACCATCTTTCTGAACAACTGTTGGACTTCCTCGTTCACGAACTTGATCTTTGCGAAACGATTCAGGCTGGGAAATAGAAGTAGAAAGTTAAGTATAATTCTACTGAAGAAATTCGGTTGAAAGAGAGCCTGGCCGATCTGATCGAACGCCAAAGGATCATCTACGTCCTCGAAACAGCGCCCTTCGATGCCCGCACTAGCGTTCGCCGTAACTTCGCCAGTAAATTTTGAGAACAGATACTTCAGATCAACTTCGTACTTGTCGTTGGAGCTCAGCCGCCTCTCTAAGTAATCTTGGAATTTCTTGCATACTTCGGCAACTACCACGAAAATAATTTTCAACTTGCCACTTGTGAACGCATAGGTCAATCGCTTCCTTCCATTTAACCATTTTTCCCCGTGGGCGACAAATGTATTTTGAGCTAACAGGGGATCCACCTCCTCTAAAATCTGGAAACTGTTTATAGGAAAACTCGAGAAATTAGTTTGCATCACGGATTTCACCAAATTCGGGTCGCGGACAACTAATGCCGGCACTAATCCTTTGTAAAATCCAACCATGCTGCAATCCTTGTACTGCTGGTACATTTCTTGAACTAGTACGCCCGGAGCTTTTTGCATGGTTAACGCGGGTAGCATGTGACCAACGATCGGGTACCATCCTTTGGCCGTTGGAATATTATTTCTTTTCCAATACGTGAATTTCAAGTACAAGTACAACGCTAACGTAGCCGTTAAAAGTATAAAGAGTGCACATATCATTTTCGACTTGAATGACTAATTGTCTGTGTTGCTGCTGCTGCTGCTCCTACGTTCGTAGTTCGACTGAAGTAGAGTGGTACTGAGCTGTATTTAAATTCGGACGACGTCGTTCACTAATTAGTAGAAGAGGTGAAGCTAATGGGAGGACAAATATGTCATGTCTACTTATAGATTATACCAATTACCTAATAGCTGTTTCACTGGACGGTGACATTGAAGATAAAAGTTTAAGTCACACGATCAATTGGCTGATAAAAACAAACACTTTTAGGCATTAATGTAGAAAGAATAATTCGTCGGGACATAATGCAGGAGATAATCTTTTATCTATATAGTTAGTGGAATTGAGTTAAAGAATTGAGAAAAATTTGCACTTTCCTGGCCGAGTATTCAGAAAGCTCATGTGTCAATTATTAATAAGAGTATTTTGCGACAAAGAAGTTGGAGAATCGAACAATATTCGGTGGTAGAGGGGACAGAGAATGCGTAGGGATCCTATT